AATATAAATATGAGCAAAAATGAGTACATTGCTTTGTGCAATAGCCCAGTAACCATCTCATCTGGAAGTAAAGATCTAGAGGAATCCAAATGAATTTATCCTGAGAACTGCAAGTAAAAGAAGGAATAACCTCAACCATCCCCCTTGTACCCACTGACCATGATACATGTGATATACAGAGCATCAGAGCTGCCCTTACTGTTGTTTTGTTTACTGTAAGGGAGAGAATTTGTCCAGAATTTAATGCAATCAGTATAATTAATGTTGGATGTGTCTAATAAATCAATGCAGTTGCTACTACTTCAGTGTTTGATGTATAAACTGAATACTGAGGAACCAAATGAGTACGAAAGGTCCTCACTGCCAGAAGTCTTGGATTGACAGTGGAATACTAGATACAGAAATTCACAGCAAATAAGCTGGTATACTCTTACTGATGCTGCACAACATCTCAGCAGTACTGTTTCCAAGGGCTCAAGAATAGCACCATAATGATGTTTGGGGGATATTTACTGGAAGGACAAGACAAAGCTGGAGAGGTTTTTTCAAGGATTTTACGTTTCATAGAGATCCAAAGGAATCATTAAGATTGCTTTATGGCAACTTTATTAAGAACAAATTTATCAAAACCGTATGTGCAATGCTGGCTTTTTATATGCTTGAAACATTAATTTATAAAAAAGATTCAGAGAATATCAACTAAGAGGAATGATTTTTCCTGGATCCTTGTTACTAAAACTTTTCTTATTTGTAGGAAAGACTATATTTTCTGAAGTAATAACTTCTTCAATACTATTGTCTTGAAAAGCTAGAATTTACTTCATTGCTGGGTGATTTTTTTTGGTGGGATTTTCCCCACTTCATTTTACACCAAGAGAAAAAAGAGACACTGAAAATTTGGACTCAGTTGCTTATTTTTCTCAGGTGTAGGGGAAAATCCTGGTGGTGTGATCAGGGCTCCTCCTGCTCTATAAAATGAGGTTTATTCTAAAGTGATTCATCACATGGAATGGTATGGAAGGCTGCAAAATTTCTCATTCAGCCTAGTGAACACAACAAGAAGTACTTGGAAAGACATGCAGCTCTAAGTTTATAATCTGCATATTTACCTATATCAACATTTTATCAAACAAGACTAAAAGTGGTTATTAGAAACTTATTTTTAGCACAATATATGTATGTAGGGTTGAGGTGATTTTTTTAAGAAAATATTCCAAAACTCCAATGTCTTTGTGTCTTTTGACCTAGAAGCCAGAGTTCTTAAAATCATGTAGTGTTAAGAAAAAAGGCCCTAGGTATTAGTGGTTTTGTGGTTTTATATAATTTGTGTGCAATCACAGAATGGGTCAAGTTGGAAGGGACCACAGCAGGTCATGTGGTCTAACCTCCCTGCTCAAGCAGGTTCATCCTAGAGCACAAGATTGCATCCAGAGGGTTCTTGAATATCTCCAGTGAAGGAGACTCCACAACCTTTCTTGGCAATCTCTTCCAGTGCGTGGTTACCCACACAGTAAAAAGTTCTTCCTTATATTCAGGTGGAACTTCCTGATTCCTGTGGATCAGTTTCTGTACATTTCCAACGTAGTCCAGGATATCTTTGCCTTCTTGGCCACAAGGACATCCTGCTGGCTTACGGACAACATGTTGTTCACCAGAATCCCCAGGTCCCCAGCCTGGTGTATGGTGTATGGGGTTATTCTCGCACAGATGCAGGATTAAGATATCCTGCATTTGCCTTTTTTTGCATTTCATTCCTTTTCTGCCCACCTCTCCAACCAGTCAAGGTCCTGAAGGGCTGTGCAGCCCTCTGAGGTATCAGCTGCTCCTCCCAGCTTTGTGTCATCAGTGAACTTGCTGAGTAGGCATCTGCCCCTTCATCCAAATCACTGGCAAATAAAGTTAAACACTACTGAGCCTTTGGGGATCACCACTGGTGAGAAGCCTCCAACTAGACCCCATGCCACTGATTATAACCTTTCAGGGTGTGCCATTCAGTCAGTGTTCCATCCACCTCACTGTCCACTCATCCATTTCCTGAGTTTGCCTTTGAGAATATTGTGAGAATATAGTGTTGAAAAGTCTTGCTGAAGTCTTCTGACATTGCTGCCAAAGGCCTTGCAATCCATTTCTGAAGTCAGTTGCTGTTTTGTCTCTGATTTCTAAAGAATATTACCAGACTCATAGAAAAGTCAGGGGCTGAGCTTATTATTTTCTCTCTGTCATCAGGTTGTTGTTCTTTTGCTGTAACTAGTGTACATTTAAACTTCATATAAACTGGAAACAAAAAAAAGTAGGAGAAGGCTATTTTAACTGATTAGATATATAATCTAATTAATTTCTATAAAACTGACCTGAACAAATCAGGTACACTAATGAATAACTTTCTGGAAGTAGAATTTTGGTGGAGGGCACCCTTTTGCCACATGCAGCACAGTTGTACTATTTCATCCATTTCCCATTTAAAGGTAGATATTGTTGGGGTGAGTGGTGTTCATTCCAGACTAACCAAATTCAGGTATCACACTACATGCTGATAAGCACTGCTGCAAAACACTGCTCATGCTACTGTGGCCTCCTTACACTTTGGCTTTTGATGCAGTGCTGAGGAAGCCTTTCCTTCTGCACAATGAAGGGGGCCTGGCTGGAACTTGGGTACTTTGTAAACATGAATTGTACATTGAAAACTACTTTTTGTTAGTTAAACCACTTCATAAAAGATCCGAATAAATACAGCTGCAAAAGTTCAGGAGTTTCCCTGGTGTATGAGGTCCATATCAAGACACCTAAATTAAATAGGAGTACTCTGAACCAAGCAAGTGAAGGTAGCTGAATAATATCATTTAACATTGGCAGACATTCCTTTAAAAAAAATTACCTGGAGTTTCAGTCAATACAATGACTTTTTCTTAGAAAGGATATTCCATAGGGAAAAAATTGTATAATTTAATTTTAATCATAATCTTTTAATTAGCTTCTCATCACTGTCATTATTTGCTATCATTTATCAATAGAAGAGACTTTCATTTACTAAAACCCTAAGTAATTAAACATCAGGAAGAAAATGCTGCTTTTAGAAATAAGAACTCGGCACAGAAACAAATGAAATAATGCAAACCACAATGCACTCATTTCTAACTGTGCAATTAGGATATCAGCAGAGGATGAAGATGCAGCTGACTTGGTGCTATAGTGTTGGCAGGGAGAGTAGGAAAGGAAGTTACAGGACATATTTTAAGTAAGGTAAATTCTTTCTTTATCCTGTTGCACCTTCCAGTGGATTTGATCACCAAGTACAACTTACTTTTGTTCTGCCCTCGGGAAGAGAGACACTCTGACATTATTACAGCTGAAGCCACGTCTTCTATGAGGTCAGTGCTCTTCAGTCTTGCCACAACCAGTTCAGGTTCTTCAGTCTTCTTTTTCAGAGCTCAATTTGTGCTGCTTGTGATATACTGTGACCCTTACAAATGGGGAACAGAGCTACTGCCTCACTTAAGGAATAAGATTTGCCTGCACCATAGCAATTTTTTCCAGGAAACGATAGAGTAAAACAGGCAGTGTCCTGTAGCTATTTAATTTCAAACACAAAAATTCTTCACATGACCTGTGGTTAAGCAGAATCAAGACACACAGAGATGCATTGAATTTCAAAATACACCACTCCCACCCCCGATTTGCCTGTCTTTAAATAAAAGTCACTTTCTTAAAACACATTAAGGCTGTGTTCTGTTTTTCAAGTCCTCTATAGGACATCTTGGAGGGCAAGCTATTGTATGATGAGGACAGGATGGACAGACACAGTTCTACCATTTTAATGAAAATATTGTGTAGTTTCTACCTTGAGTTTTTACTGAAAAGCAAAATAAAAACTCTCTGGCATGTTATTTTGGGTCATACACTGTGCCTTCCTGCTACATGATTGTTTCCATCCTGTTTGAATTCAGTCAGCAGGTATAGTCACAATACAACTGCTATAATCCTCTGCTTGTTCAAGACTGTATGCAGGATTTCCCATGTACCATAACAACATGTTTGATGTCTTTATATCACTACAATAATATTCCATAAATCAGTCTGAAATTAGAGGGTCCAAACAAAGTCTTGGGATTAAACCCTCAACACACATCTTGTAACATTTATACAATATATTATATTGACTCAGGCTCTGTAGTATTATAAAATGTAGAAAAATCCCACTTCGTAAATACAAATATTTTGTCAGGATCTATATATTTTAGTTTTAATGACTTTTAAAATAAAGGAGATATAGTAAAATAGGAAAACCTTTCCTGCTTTTCCTTTGGTAAATTTAGTTTATTGTGTTGAATTGTGTTTCACCAAACCTATTTATGATAAGGAACAAACTGAGGAGGAATTAAGGGATCATAACACTGAGCACTAAACAAAGCACAAGCATCTGCAAGGATGGGCTGAGCTAATAACTGTGTGGATAGTCACTATGTGAGGGAGGAATTAATGTCAATTTGTCAACTCCTTTTAACCACACTTGGCAATGACAATTTTCTCCTTTTATTTTTACTCCACCAATCAGGAACTGTTAAAAAACTCCAGCTGCCAGTGCTTTGCAGGTGTTCTTTTGTAACAGGATAACATTAATTAGGTATTTAAATATGTAATTGCTAATTATTTCCTTGACTTTCTGCATCAACAATTTCTTAATGCTTTCTTTCTACAGACTTTTTATTAGCTTCTAAACCACTTGTTCTTTCTGACTTGACTGCCTCTCTTCTGTTCTTTCCTGTACATTGTTCAGTAAATTTAGGCCATGAAAATATGTGTCTTTTTACTGTGGTATTATTTGAGACATTTACTGTGTTTATTAGTGCACTCACAGAATTATGATGTTCTGTTTTACTTCATGCTGATTTGATTACTAAATTATCCTAGGAACCAAAAGAAACCAGCAAAGAGTATAGAGGTAGAGGCTGTTTTAAATAGAAATTAAGAGGGTACTAAAATATGCTTTTAAAACCACTCACCCGGAAATATTGAAGATAGTTGTCATGTTTACCAAAACATTCTCAGCATGTTTTGTCATTCCATAAGTCTGCAAGACAAATACGAGTAAGGATGCATCTAATACTGACTGGATGTGAAACAATATTACCAGATTTTCAATTTTAGGATGGAAAGAGTACCAGCCATAAGGAATGCATATTGCCAAGGAGATAAATGGATTCCTGTTTTTTAAACCTCATCTTTCATTCTTTGTCTACCTCAGCATTTAGTGTTAATTCTGCAAAAAGCTGAGGTAACAGAGAAATAGAGTGACTGAAAGGTACATGAGAAACACTCCCAGCAACAGAATTTTGTTGCTACTGACTTCAGAGGAGCAGGAAGCAGCAGTACCAGAAGCCTGAGCTCTGATGGTAACTCAGAGTGACTCAAGGATCAGGCTAAGAAGACATGAAGGGAACTGCACCTGACAATAAATTATGTAAGGGTGATACGGCTCCTGTCTGCCTGGCAGGAGTAGAGATCACTGGCTTGTCCACAGCACAGCACTTACCTTAAGGGAAACTTCATATGCTATTTCCCAATCTAGTAGCTAAAAGCACTACAAAAATACATTATGGAAGCATGACCCATGAATGAGATTTGCTAGTAGAGCAAACACTGAGTGCCCCTCTTTGGGTTGGCCATGTCATAATATTGTGTGACAGCTGACAGTATGTCTGTGTTATCTGTATAGAAGTACTGTAAATGGAAAGCTGATCTACCTTTTGTTAACAGTGGACTGTTCTACTGTCATTACAGAAATGACCATGAGTACCATGGTATTTTTCAGCAATTAACAGCAAGTTTCTTCTAATCTTGTCTGCTGCTGTTGACACATATTAGGATGGATATTGAAGAAAAGATTCTTAACAATCTTTGCCTTCCCAGGCTAGCCTTAAAAAAAGTATGCATAACCTGAAGATACTTTGGTGGTTTTACAAGCAGGACAAATGCATCTCAGTACATGGCTCAAACTACATAGCTATGCCAATTAAATGCATACACTCTTCTTCCTCTGATGCAGTAACTGATATTGTGCCAAAGACCAACTGTCTAGCAGCTTTGACTTGTGAGTTCACCATTTTTCTAAGCTTAATATTCCAAATCCTTAAATCCTGTGACCTTCTACTTTTAATGTTATTCCATCTTATCCATATGACTCTACAGCTGCTTCTTGGCACTGATCTAGGTACAATTTTGCCTATTTAGTCACTATATGTATTGCCTTCCATAGACCTACTATAGGATTGTGAGATAGTGACTAAGAGATTCTTTTGTCACCATGACTCTTGACTTGTTTCCCAGCACATTGACTTGTGCCCTTCTCCATAATTTCATTTTGCTGTAGGTTTCTAGTTCTACTTGATTTTAGAGCTTCTAAAAGGAATATTTTATCAATTTTAAGACCCCCTTTTTGTTAAAAAAGTGAGCTATATGTAAGGAGGTGCATAAGGGAACATAATGTTATAAATAATTCAGCTGATGGGACAAGCTCTCTAGACCAAAACACAGTTTAGTCTTCCTGCAATTCTAAGCATCATATTCTGAAATTCTATTGTCTCACTGTAGTCCCGCTACCTTCATTTTTACATTTGTAAAATAGCAGAAACAGTATACACCATGTTTTATCTTGAAGGACAAAAAAGGGACTGCATTTATATTTTCTTCTTTTTTTTCTTTTTTTCTTTTTTTTTTTTTTAAGCTAAATCTTAACTTATTTTGCAAGGGGAAAAGGAATACTGTAATGAACTTCTTTGCCAACCTGAAATCTGAATTACCTCACAGCATTCACCACAGTTTGCGGGATTTGTAATTTTCTCTTCTTCCCCCCCTACATTCCCTCTCCCCGCTTCCCCCGCGTTCCCCCTTTTGTCCTGCGTTCCCTTATCACTCCCCCTCCCTCCGCGGTCCCTTGTCCCGACCCTTTGTTCCCTTATCACTCCCCCTCGCCACGCGGTCTGTCCCTGTCCCCCCCCGCCTTTCCCATCGCTGTCCCCGGTGTTTCCCTGCCCCTGTCCCCTGCCTCCCGTCCCATTGGCCGCAGCTCAGGCTCCCCCTGCCCCGGCACGGGGTATAACCGACCCTCGGTCGGTGTCCCGGGGTCTCGGGAACACGCTCCCACAATAAACACGTGTCTGCACCCGAGCCCCGTGTCGCCCTCTCGTCTGTCCCCGTGCTAGAACGGAGCCTCGCAGAGCCGAAGGGGAAAGCGGCCGCCGCCTCTCCCCGCTCCCGCCGCGTCCCGCTAGCGCTCACCCGGAGCCGGCCTCGCACGGCAACAACAGCTGGCTTCTCAGAGTCTCTGTTAATTATCCTTTTTTTCCTGATATCTTTCAGTTGTGCGGCTGATAGCCACATCAGGATTTGAGCAGTTTGCAATATTCTCCTAGTCAGCTAGCCACATGCATCTACAGCTCTACACATTTCCATGGTTCCAGTGACAGCTGTGTAGCCCTGAAATGCAAACCAGAAACAAAGTATATGTGAAAATGTGTGCAATCCACAGCAACTGGAGTCAGACCAGTAGGATTTTACTTTTACCACGTGCCTCTGGAAACAAGGGGAACAGCATGGAAACACTAACTTCTGCTCCATATTAAAATATTTTGGTCATCCTATCTCTGTGATTGCAGACAAGGTCATGAATCCTTCATTCTCAGCTTCTGCTCCAGGCCCAAAAGAACATCCTCAATAGTCCTGCACTGATTCTTTTACTTGTGGGCTAGCAGGCAGCAACAAACAAAATTTAATGTGGAAGGGCTGACACTGAGTAAAGTAATGCATATTCAGAGATGTGCAAGGAAAACAAATACACAAAAAATAGGAGCTGGAGAGCTGGTGGGTTACACGCCTTGGCATTTTCTGCATAGCTGGAAATGTACTGCACATATCTAGGATGGTTGCATCCTGTTCCCAAGCCCCCAGCTTATCAAGCCTGACTGTGCAGCCCTTGCAAGTCTGAAGTTAGATCTGAAGAATCAAGAAAACATATGCCATCTGTCCTAACTGCTTGAGCAACAAGATCCAGGACTGGAGAGAAGGGATTAATAAAAAGAGGAAAGGCACTTCACTGGTGAATTTATATTAATTACAGGCGAAGGAACTAAGGACACAATTTTCAGGTCATTGCATCTCTTCTATTACAATGGCTGTAGGGACTTAATCCTCATCTATCTTGACTGCACATTGTGTGGGTTAATTGGCATTTCTGCATAAACTATAATATATGAAGTGTGCTAGTAAATGTTAAGAGTCCTTAAAAAGTATTAACTACTTAGAAAATTAGAAATATATTAAAAACTTAGTTCTGAAAGTCATGGTACATTTAATCATTCATTTTAAATCACTTCAAATTCCAGCAATAAACACCTACAAATCTGACTTTCTGAGAATCAGCAAAAAGACAGCCAGAGGCTAAGGAAGATTAGCAGTTGGAAGAAAAATAATTGACTTGCCACCCTATTATGCTTCAGGCTTCTAGACTGGGATGTACTCAGAGAAAAATCTGTTTAATGGACCTTTTGAATTCTTTGTCTTCTGATGCCATAACCTGGGGGAGAGCAGGCTGTGGCTCATCAGGCAGCTGTGGGGGGGACAGAAATAATTGACTTGATTGATTTCTACCTGTCACTGCTACAAGGGTGCCTGGTGCCCCACCACAGGGGTGGCCTTGGTGGAACACCTGGCTTTGGTGCAGCACAGCCCATGCTGCCCTGTCCTCCCACATAACCCTGGACTCCTACAGGTGCTGCCTTCCTGCCTCCCGTGCTAATGGGCCAGCAGGGCAAGGTGCAGGGGTCCACTCCCTTTTGCAACTGATGATGAATGAGGAATACACTAATTAAATATAAACAGGAAGAGTCACACACTTCCAAAGAAAACTGCACACAGCAATGTGTGAACATGCCAGGAGGGAAACATGCCACAGGGATGAGCAACAGCTGCAGCCCACATGCTGCCCACCTGCCCAGGGCTCTGGAAGGCACAGTGGGATTGTCCCACAGTCATTCACTTTGGTGGACCTTTGTAAGTGTCATTACATATCAAAGTTCTTTTCTGTGACGGATTTCCCCAGGGGAGAAGTCATTTTACTCCAATTGCTTTGCGTGCATTCACACAGCAAAGACACAGTCTTCTCCTGGGGCACTCCTCCTGACTTCACAATAGCAGACAATTCGCTGAAGAATGTGCAACATCTACCATACCTTAAAGTTAACCCAAGGGCTAGATGTCCAGGAGAGCATTATGCAAAATTGAGGACATTATTAAAAAGAAAGACAAGCCATCAACCCTAGGGAGTCTGGAGACCATGTTCTGTCAGGAAGGTGGGAGGCTGGTATGGATATTTTGTAACTCTGGAAGTCTGAGTGATGTAGCCTCACCTGTAAGGGAGACTCTGCTGTTTGGAAATCTGGCCTCCTTGTGCACACGCTGTGTGGAAACTGAGGGTTGCAAATAGTCAGCTTTCTGGCATGCAAGAGTTTCGGGCAATGGCATTTGCTGGCAGCAAGATCATATCCATCTTGCCAGGCTGGGAATGGGGAGAAAAATCATGAAAAATCCTTTAGTTCACTTGGCAGCTGTTATCCTTATGTACCCTGTGGCTATGCTTACCCTACTGACACTCTGCTGGAGAAAGCTTCAGTTTAACATGCACTATTTATTAACACCTTTTCAAATCCTAGTGTAAACCAAGCTGTGAAAAGTTTGCAGTCATGAGCTAGTAAAAATTAACCCTAGCATAAGGTCCATGGTTTAGCTTGAAAAGCTAACAGCATATAAACCACAGACTGTCATTGTACCAGAACAAAAGCAGTTACTGGGCGATTGCTCACCATTTAAGGACTGTGTTAGGAATAATAATATCTGGATGAAGTGTATTCATTTTTCAATAACTGCTTTGTGTGTAAATACTAATACAAGCTGAGCAATTTGTATTCTGATGTGTTATAATTGGAGACTTCTGAAACACAAATGGTTTCAAACTACTTCCTTCTACCCACACCTAGCCTGCTCCTCACTTAAAGGAAGACTGTCCCAGCACCCTGCCCTTGTCCCAAATACAAAGCCATATCCCTGTGGAAAAAGAGCAAAGATACCTCAAAAATTCAAGCAGGTACAGCCAGAGGACACATCCCTGTGGCACAGTTTTACAGAGGCCTCTCCTGTTTGAGGCTTTAATATACCTACTGCACAAGACATCCTGCTTTGCTGGGAGAACCTCTCATAATCCTTTGGCCTGATCTACTATGAGGCCTGCAGGAGGACAGAGCAGAGGCTCTGGAGCTGATGACTGCAGGAGACTGAAATAAAACACATGATGTCAGAGAGAGCCACATGGTGAGGATGGAGCCCAGAGGGTTCAAGGCAGATACAGCCTTTGCAGGTGGCCTGGGAGAAGGCTCTGCAGCTCTTCTGACACATAGCGCAGGCCATTGCAAACAGACTTAAAGGTGCATTCCAGGCTTCTAAATTAGTGTCTGAAATTCATCATCAGGCACGTGCTGCTTTAGGATTTTGTATCATGACGATTGATTGTCAGTGCAGTTAAAGCAATTAATACATTTCTGAAAGGGTAAGGTCAAAAATTAATATTTTGATGTGTCCCAGAACAATTCAAGAACTTGGCAGCTGAATCAGATCAAGGACTCTTTTTGTCTGCCAGCAGTCAGCACAAGGTGGTTGGGAAGAATATATAAGACCTCTGCAGTCAGCATATGAGCGAAATATTGTGTCTTCTCACCCTGCACATGCTTTAGATTTCTTCCTGATCTAATGGAGATTTTTAAAATATCTAAAAATACTTTTCAGAGAGCTTTGACCATAGGTAAAACTCTGGCTGTTTGTTATTTAGAGCAACTCTCACTACGACTTGTCAGCCTTCATCATTTTCCTCACACTGGAGGAATACAAAGATTATGTTAGCTGCCCAGTGTAGAGCCTCATTACTTTTGTATGCCTGTTTTTAAATGTAATTGAATGCTGCCTTGTTCTTTCCTGTAAAAGTACTGCAGACAGAAAGTTTCAAGTAAGTTCATAATATTATTTTTATCTATCATATTCTTATTTATCTTCACATTAAAGCAAACATATCTTGTATTTTTAACTTGTCTCCATGCAAGAGTTTTTCAATTCTCTTTATTCCATTCCCATGCTTTTTTTTAAATTTACCAATTTTTGAAACCACTCTAACTACCTTTGTGATATCCTTTTTGAAATGTAGTTATGAATACTATGCAGCTGATGCTGTAGTGTCAATACAATCAATGACAGGTTTTTATCCATCACAGTGCATTTGCTATTCTTTTCTTCCCTTTTAGTGACTTGTTTGCTATTTTGGCCACTAATGCCCATTGAGAAACCTGCAGTGATGCTTCATTTTAAGTTGTAAATTAGTTTGGACTCCTATGAAAAAATTATTAGTTTAATTTTTCACTTCCAAGCTACAGTAGATTGCATATCTCAGCGCTGGAAAATCTATTCTGTCTCATCTGACAAAATTTAGAGACTATTTAAAAATATTCTACTCTTTTTTCATAAGCTATGTTTTCTCCTAGATAATTTCCTAGATGATGACCTCCTAGATAATTTCAGCTTCTTTTCTGTTGTGGAAGTAAACTGGGGTGATAAAAAGTGAGCATAATTAAAAAAAAAAAAAGTGCAAGAAAATTACGAGTTTGATGAAATTATAGGGTAAGTTTTAAAAGTTATTTTCATACTAATACTGTCTTTTTTGGCAATTATGGAACAAGCCTGTTTGCTGTAAGATTTTTAAAACCTTACTTAAAAATTTATTTAGGAACCCCACTAAGTCAAGTGTATTCAGTTAACCTCTTAAAAAATATAGCAAATAACTTCTTATTAGTTACCTAAATTAAACACAATGATGCTGTTTTATTAGTATATTAATGGGAAAATTCTGATAGTGATTCAGTGATACCAGGGCATATGTGCTTACCCTCCTTGCTTGGTACTTTCTGGCCATATCATGACAAGCCTTCAATAACACTTGTGTGAATAATCTGATCAAAGATTTCCTTTAAGCTGAGAATTAAGTGCTTTTCTCTACACAAAATGAACCATTCAGCAGCACTACTCATCATGAGTGCACTATGAAATACTTTTGTGAAACCAGTTTAGCAGAGCTGCCTAACAGCTGGCCACAAAAGTACTTCTATCAGATGAGTGAGCTCCTTCTATATCTTAATTTCAGCTTTCAAAAATTGATTCTGGCCTTTATTTCAAGTACATTCCACTGCTGTTTCAAAACAGAAGGCTAGCAAGCTGCTTAAATGCTTACAACCATTTATCATTGTGTCAGGAGGAGAAATCTGTAAAAAAC